CGAAGAGATGAAGGAGTGGCCACTGAGGTGGAAGGAAGACAGGACGGGGCTGACCCTGGGGCAAGGAGAAGAAGTGTTTGAAGAAGGAGCGGACCAGCTGGGATGAATTTTGCTAATAACTGAAAGAGCAGGCAGACGTAGGACAGGGAACAGCCAATGCAACATCACGAACACACAGGTGTTCGATCCAAGTGGGAAGCACCACCATAACCCAGCGTGGAAGTTACTGAGCAATACATCGTTACAGCTGAGGGAAAGATGCTCCACAAAAAATAAAAATTTACATAATGCTTTACACCTTTTCACTTCCCTGCAATGCTATCGCTAATAAGGCTATGGCACAAGAACTCAAATGACAATTATCAGCAGTTATTGCAAATTAAGAAAGTCGAGAAAATTCTACATAATCTACTCAACCCCACCTAATGGAAGAACTGAGGAGCTGTGTTTCAAAGTATATATAAATTCTGATTTATTCCTTCCTCCTACCTCTTTCGTAAGGCCAGTAAAGGGCATGAGTGGCTTCATACACGAAAACAAAATACCCTGATTTGTCTTGTTAAGCAATGACTGAGGGAAAAACGACCTCACGCTGGGTTAGGCGCACCTCCTAAATTACTCCTTGGTCTCATTTCATTCGGCCAGTGCATCACTGAGAGTACTGGTGGTCATTATAAGATCTTGAAATTGACAGCAAAATGGGGAACATCTTCAAAACATACAGACCATTGGAGGCTAACATCGATCATCGTTCACCCTCTTCGAAGTGTTTTCTCATAATGATTAACTCCCTGACTTTGCAACAACAATCAGTTATGAAGCCAAAGAAAGGCATTTCTGCCCTACAAGCACCAATTTTAGCTGCATTAGAACACAGATCAAAGTAGGCTGAGGTTGAATGCCCTGAAAGACAATGTAACACTCTTTCATGGGTCTAACAGCTTTGCGGCCTGCCTGAATCTGGTGTACTTACAGGCCATGGATACTGTCTGTGTCATGAAATTAGAATGGAATAAGTATGGGAAACAATCTAGCATCTGTTTATCTAAAACTCTCTTTTGAAAAAGATTTTCTAATATTGGAATGGAATAAGTATGGGAAACAATCTAGCATCCGTTTATTTAAACCTATCTTTTGAAAAAGATTTTCTTAGATTGGCTATAAGAAGCTAAAAAGGCAAGGAGACCCAAAGAAGAAAATGAAAGATACTAATGGAAACGACTATTTAGAGGATTTCAAGAGCAAACAGAAAGACCCTAGTAGGGCTGACTCCAGAGAACCAGGGAAAGAAAGGAGGAAGGTATGAGTGCTCCTGTGTTAATATTTCATCTGTCTTTTAAATAAAATTGCTCTCCAAGTTATTGCTAAAATATAACTGTGCTGCCCAGACGCTGCATAAAGCTCTACCCCCATCCCATTCTTCAACAGAAACAGAGAAGAGGGGAACCAAAAGATACAGAGACAAAAATCCCAGAAACCACACGAGAAGAGCGACTGCAAGGTGGGAGTGAAGTTCTGGGAGACATTCGAGCTGTTAGAAAGTATCTGAGAAGCTGTGGAGGAAAGCAGCATCCTACTTTATAACGAGCTAGGAGAATCACCTGGCAGAGCATGTCTCTGGAACCCACAGGGAAAACTTTGAGGCCAACCTAGAGCGCCTTAAGTTCCTGTGAATGGCACAGTTTCATAATTTCAAAGTAGACAGCTAGCAAGGAGAACATGTTGCTGTAGTAAGCACTTACATCTCTGCTTGACTGAACTGTTCTATGTTGCTGGAAACGGGAGATCCAGACAAAATTATGTAAGTAAAAGTTGACTCCATGTAAGAGCTTTAAATAATTAATCTGTGCAGTAATTAAACCCAAAAGGGCTTTGAAATTGTTATTAAAAATATCCCAGCAGGTGTTGAAGACCACAAGCTGGACATAAAGTTCAGTGGTATGACTACTAAGCTCTTCTGTGAGTCTTTATACCCAAGGTACCAAATATTTTCCTCCACAGTCTCTTTACCGTTTGTCACTGGTGTAAATCAACTGCCCTAGGGGTTCGTCATCTTGTTGTCACTTCTGAACTGGATTTATGTTCTATGTGGCATTTCATATCAATATTTATTCCTGTGTATGTCCAGCTGCAAGGACAAGGTCTCTGCCTCTTATCTAAGCTGGGTGGTCTTGCTTTTGGTTATACTCAATAATATTATTTGGTATAGATCCTGGGGAAGATTAAAATTGCTTACAAGGCTCCACCCACATAACCTTGTAATAATACTGGTGATGATGAGGTAGATGATATTATCTTTTTTTTTTTTTTTTTTTTGTCTTTTTGAGACAAGGTCTTGCTATACAGTTCAGGTTGGCCTTGAGCTCACTTTGTAGCCCAGGCTGGTCTCAAACTCTCTACGATCCTCCTGTCTCAGCCTCCCAAGTGCTGGGATTACAGGCATGTACCATCATGCCTGGCTCAAGTCTTTTACTAGGTGCCAATATGTGTTTAAAGTATTATGTGCATTATTTCATTGAATATTCCCAGGAACCTAATGAAGAAGATGTTATGACTGTAGTAATTTTATAGATAAGAAAACTCATGGTGAGGAGGGGTTAAGTATCTTGTTCAAGATAACCAAGCTAGGACGAGGCAGTCTGCCTTTGAACTCTAATCTTCCTAACTGCTTTGAAATCCCTGCTCTTAACTAATATGCTCTAACTACTACACCAATTCTCAAAGTATAGTCCCTGGACAAGCTGCAGCATTCTGTAGGAACTATACCAACTCTCTAAGGTACAACTCTGGGGCAGGGCTCAGCAGTCTGTGTCTTCACAGGGCCTCTGTTTAACTCTGATGCTCCCTACAGTTTGAGAACTACAGACCTAGTAGGCAGCAAGTCTGCCTAGAAAGCCACATTGTATTGTCTTAACCATACTGATTTTTATAACCTGAATTTGCAAGTTTGTGGTAGTTTCTTAATTTTTCCCCAGTAGGAGATAAAGAAATCCCAGATATGGAAAGTCAGATTTACTTTTCCTTCTGTGAAAGAGAAAGGGTGATTTCTTGTCAAACCTATTGAAGGGGTTAGAGAGCTGCCCTTTCAAAATATCAGTAAGCGGAAATCAAGAAAGTAAAGTACTTTTGCAGCATAGCTAAGCTTCTGTGGTTAAACATGAACAGTGAATAGGCCCAAAGAGCTTGAAATTCTCCTAAAGCCTTCACATGATAAACAACGCGCACTATCTGCTCAATCAAAAGAGTCAAGATTTTGAAAACTTCCTGTGTGCGTACTATTTTTCCAGAAGAATATAAACATCTATAGTTCTATCTCACGGCTACAGCAATGGAGGATGCTTCCACGTGGCAGTCAGTGGCATTTGTCATCTACTTTCTCTAGTTTAAAAAAACAAAATCCTTTGAGCTTTAGAACTCAGCTGCCTGGAATGTGACCTTGGACTTTCTGAAGCTCATCTTCAGTAGGTACCACCGTGCCGCTCTGCAAATCAGCCTATAATCTCTTTAGCATCCTTCTGCACGTGAAATTTTAAAGCTCAGTCACTGGCACGGGACTCATCCTTCACTTCAAGGACTCTGAACATTCTTGTACCAGGTCAGATACAAGTTTTGCACAAATCCAGAGAGAATAAATATGAGTAACACGTTCAATGCTAAAAAAAGAAAGGCGATTTTTCTATAGGTAAAGATTTGCTTGAGAAAGGTAGTAAAGATTTCTAGCTGCATCAAAATTATGTCAAACAGGAACTATCTTATGTTTCAAGTACTTGAGCTTTGCAGCGATCTCACACGTTATATTATACCAAAGGTAAAATAAGCAGGTTTCACTTGAAGTCTCGACTAAATAAAAAGAGTTCCTGTACTGGAATAACACATGATTCATAGTCTTATGCAAGGGTGTTCTTGGATACTTGATTTCAGAGTTGGTGTCTTATTATATCTACTTTGTCATCTCCCCTCTGTAATGGGTGTGGTGGGGAAGCTGTGAGCTAGCAGATAACAGCATCCATTCTATAGGATGCCGGAAATAGGGACTTCACTAATCCTCCTCCGAACACATTAAACAACAGCTCAGGAAGCTACAAGCACTGAGAAATATAGGAAGGTCAAAGGGACTGGGACAGGTTACCATAATTTAGAACAGCTCTAAGAAGGTAGCTATACACTCACTTCAGGAGGGAAATCCCTTTTTTCACTGACCTTTGTGTTCTATCACTTTAAAGGGAAAAGTAGAAGGGATTTCTTAAACACTAAAATAGTAATAGATTGTGGATATTATAATAATACAGCACACAAAAGAAAAGGTTAAGATATGCTAAAGAAAATGAAGTGTTATCTATCAAGAAGATTCCTTCCTTTACTGATTCATTCATTTACTCAGCATTAACAGAGAAAAAAAAACATATACTGGATAGTCTCTAGGAAATATCAACCAACTGTACATGTCTTCCCCAAATCTTTCCCACTCCAAAAAAATAAGAAGAAATGGACTCAGAGGAAAAAGCAGAATATCATGTTTCTGACATGAGTGAACACACCAGCTCATTAAATTATTAGAGTGAGCAACGGTCAGTCCTGAGTAGTCGGGCCAAGTGCCTATCTGCCTGAATGCAGGTGTTGAGACCTCTCGAGGCCTTTTCTATCTGTGGCTTTCATTGCACTCATAGTAAAAAGCTGAATACAAATTGACCTCTGCCAAATGTCTTCTCTAAGCAAGGTAAAAAGCCTACTGAAGTTCCATTTCATAACAGACAGATACGGTCGTTTGAAAAGGTACAAAATGAATACTTTATCCATTGCTATATACCTTGTACTAGGTACTGTGTGTATATTAACTCATTAAATCTCACAACCATGTGAAACTCATGTACAACTGTGAAAATATAACACATTGAATCAAAAAGCAGGGCATCTGACTGTATTATTTTATCCTGATGTTTAATCAATACATATGACCTTACGAAAGTGGAATAGTATTTAACAGTTAAACTGTAACTCACCCTTGCCATATCCACCAAGAAGTTCTCAAATAATTTCCAAATGTGGTTACTTGTGTAGATTTCTTTCATTTCCACTTCAGTGTCAACGTAACAATGATTAACAAAGTTCACATAAGCAATTTTAACCTGTGCAAGTTTCAAATAAAAGAAAGTTCATTTCTATAGTGAGCACCTTCAAGTATCACTTATGAAATGATAAATAAAATCTGTGTCATTCCTACAGAAGATTTCAGTATGGTCTGTATGTACCCAGAAAGCATCATGTCCCTTCTTTTGCTAAGGTGATCCACCCAGACCTGGGCAGCGAACACATAGCCTAGTATAGTACTCCATTTCCCTAAGCTCAGGGGTTGGTATGACAATGAGCACTTTACTGAAACTAAGCCCATCACCTTCAAGAAATCAGAAGTCAAAAGTGTGTTCTCTTTCTCCCTCTCCCCCTCCTCCTTCCCCTCCCCTCCTCCTCTCTCCCTTCCCCCTCTCCCCTCTCTCCCTCCTCTTTCCCCTCCCCCTCTCCCCTTTCTCCCTCTCTCCCTCTGTCTCTCCCCCTTTCTCTCTCTCCTCCCTCCCATTACTAAGCAAAACATGATCAACCTAAACTATAATAAACCATCTCCTACAGATGTAGGAGAGTAGATAAGAATTCTGCCCTAAAATAGAGAATGAGGCAGAGCACAAAGGAGAAAGCAACAAGATATGGAAAGAGTACTGACCTTGTTTCACCCTCTGGACCCACCTGAACAACTGCCCTTCAAATTCCCAACTACAGTAGCCAATAAAGTTCCTCTTCTGATTTCAACTAGTTTAAATTTGGTTTTTGTTACTTGCAACCAACAGATTCTTAATGTACTGTTGAATTATGTTGGCAAAATAACACTACATTGACATTAAAAAGTATTTACATTACTGGTCCTGAAAAGAAACAGGCTCGTGGTTTATCCCAAAACTGTACTATTTTAAGATGTAGTAAAATTGTTTTCCAGAATTAGCAAAATTTCTTGTAAAGGAGGAGGCTGAGTCTCACCAACGCATAGCATTTTGAAAGTGCATAGGGGAATAGTTTTTGCTTTTGCTTTTTTCTCGTTCATGTGAAAATCTCAAGACTATCATAAATCTTGTAAAAATGCATATACATAAAAATCATGTCAATCATTACGAGGGATGCATGGAATCCAAATTAAAATTCTCGGAGTACAGGGTCACTTTTCATGTCCTCAGGGCTTCCTCCCACCCCACTGGGGTCCAAACAAATTGTCAACCACAGGGCCCTGTGTCAATCAAAAGTCACAGGGTGGGGAGACATCCCAGCCAGTCAGCCCCTCCTCAGGCTCTCACAGCAGCTGTTAAGTAACAGTGTTTACTATGTGCCAAATGTCCTTGGCATTTGGTATATATTATCTTATTTAATTGAATCCTCTGAAAATCCTATGAGGCACATAGCTATAAGCATTTCACTCTAAAATTGTAGAAACTGAAGAGTGGAGAAATTAAACAGCCTGTCGGGGTCAGTGACACAACTGGGAAGTAATGGACCCTGGATTCTGACTCATTCTTCCATTCATCCTTCCTGCATTCAAAACCTACTTACTGAGCATCAGCTCTGGCTCCATCAATACAATGGTGACTGGAAATAGCTCTAGCTATTACCTCCCCGAGTTCATAATCTTGGCCAAGAGTAAGAGGACTAAAGACATTTGTTAAGTAATAAGCCATGTTCCGTACAACGGATTCTTCTAGAAGCCACTGAGGGAAGGCGGGGCAAACTTGTCTGGGGAGAAGTAAGACCTGAAGGGTGAAAAGGGATTGCCTCAGTGAACACAGATGGTGTCCTCAGAGGGAGCTGTGCGAGGGACAAGGCACAACCAGCCAGAACCAGCACCGCACATAGGGACAGGAACTATGGATTTCCTCACTGAGCTACACGGACTCGCCATCTTGTTTCCCACCATTCAAGGCATGATGTACCCTTCGACTGAGGTGTCAGTGGTTCCACAAAAATGTGCCTTCAAATCCATCCCTACATAGAACTTTTTGGAAGTAGGGAAGTTAGTCTTCCCTGGCACCTTTTTAAGTTACTGTGATTTGAACTGTTTGGTTCCATAATATTTTCAATATACCACACATTTATGAACTTTGCAAAACACACCACAATTGAAAGAAACCATTACAATCTACGTTCCTGGAAGCCTCACTAATAGAACCCGATTGGCAGACAACCAGCTTCTGCAGAGGGTTTTTTTCCTATCATCAGAGTCAAACTAGGACGGAGAGTGAAAGAGGATGTGTGAATAAAGCAAAATGAGTAAGTCTATTTTCAAGAAAGCAACTACGCACAAAGGCAAGATAAACCCGTGGTGTCTGCTATAGGAGCCTGCAGGACTGTCCTACGACATTTAAGAGGCACTTGTTTAATGCTCAGAAACATGCTAGAGGCTAGAAGTAAACCTTTGTTGTTTGCACCTACTGCTATGTGCACAACTTAGGAGACATTTGTAGTAGGTTCCAGTAAACAAACTGGCTATCGTTTAAAAGGTTTATCCTCCTTCCTAACTTCCTATGGAATGAAATGGAGACCTTTTATGGTCTTTGAAATTTTCCAAATCATGGAGCTAAATACAATTCCTTGACTAAATATATGATATCATTAAGAACACTAATTAGTGCGGCGACCATTGGCACTTCAGTGAACTGTAAACATCAGTAGGGCTGCTAAGCTTTGCCAGGCTTACCTCAGGGATGCAGTCATCGTGAGTCACCACCCTCACTATGTCGTCCAGGGGCAGAAGGGAATTGCATTTGATCTCAGTGTACACGTTTTTCCCCTCTGTGCATGCTGCCAGCAGCTCCACGAGGGTGATGTGGTAGGCTAAGGGGCCACTGTCATCCCCTCGGTCTCTCTCTGAACACATCATGTGGAGAAGGATTGGAAATGATGCTCTGTCATTGTAAAATATCAGCACATCTTCACCCCCATTTATCAACTGCAATGATAACAAAAGAATCTACATAGCAGTCCAAATATTCACTCTGGCAGTTATTTCCAAAGGCCTGATCTATTTGGAACCACATACATCTCTTTGTAAAAACACAAGTAATGCTGCAAATGCACAGAGCTATGCCAAGGCAGGATGGTGAAAAGATGGTAATCATATGCCGAGCAATCTGTTACAAATGTTATCAAAACCAGGCAGGAACCAGCCACGGTGGCACACACCTGTAATCCCAGCACTCTGAAAGGCTGAGGCAGGAGGAGCTCCAACTCAACTTGGATAGATTAGCAACATAATGAGAAGCTGTCTCAAACTCAAAAATAAAACTGTTTTCTAATTCTTGCTTGCTGATCAGAATATAAAATCAAATTAGTTCCCACACATTTCCACACAATGAAGAACTAAAGTGAACGCAAATATATATTTAAGACAGGTTAATTTTACAAGTTGATTATCATGTTCCTCACAATGTTTAATAATAAGAACATACCTCTAAAACTTCAAGGCCTCACACTGACTTCATACTAAGATTTCTAAGTGGCAAGAGGAATCCACATTGAAACGACATGGAAATATCTTCTATTCCCAAATAAAAGGCATATAATTTGAAATGTTTCCAAACTAACATGGCCTACTGTGTGACTGTTTGACAGCCATGGATGGACGCCGCTTAATCCACATAGGCCACCGGACAGCCATGGCTTCCATCACAGCGAGTGACCCACCCACGTGGAGTCCCTGAGCTACCGAGTCCCCAGTGCTTCACCCATTCTGTGAATCTTAGTGTCAAACAGCAAAATGAAAGGGGCAAAATAAATTAAGCGCCTCACCCATTTTTTTTGAAAATTCTGAAGCTAGCTAGGAAGTTTCCACCTGTCGTAATGAAGCACAGATGCATAGTCTATACTCATTATTTCGGATCCCTTCAAAGCCTTTGCAATTAATGGCAAAGGACACCCTTTCTACATGTGAGAAACAGAGCAACAAAAGCGTAAGAAAATGTCCATCCCTTCGTTCTATTATTGGAAAGTTAAAAATAAAAAATTTTATCTCTCTGATTCCAAATACTTCTATGGAATCCTAAGATTCTACCCATCATCCAATCGACCCAAATTCAGGATGGCTCAAAAGGAAAAGCTCTTAGAAAATCACAAACTCAAGCTGCACACCTGGCGCCTCACTGGACTACAGCAAAATATATTCATGCTTAAGAAGCCACGATCCATTGAAAACATTTTCCAAACCTACCTTATGGGTTTTTTCCTACTCTTAATTAATAGACAATACGTATTGGAGCATATTGTTTATGGGAAGCTGATAAAACAAAGACTGAGAACATACCTCTGTCATTACCATATCCTGGCACTTCTTCACATATTTACCATCTGCTTTTACAATTGTCTGCAGAAACCTCAGGTACTCCACGTGGCGGCCGTGTGTCTCGATGCAGTGCACAAAATGCTGCACCACTCTCTCGCTGATCTCATTACACAGATGGTAATTGTTCATGAAGATATGCCGCATGGTCTCTGCTTCAAGGAGCTGGGCAGAGAGAGGAACGTGGCCTTGTCATAATGACAAGGTCAATTTTCTGTTCTCCAGAACTCAGACCAAGTTCCCTGGTTGTGATCAGCTTTATCATTTCTACACAGCCATAGCGAATTATCTGTGCGTGCCTTCCCAAAAAGGCAGTGAGATCATGAACCATTAAAAGAAATCTGACTCGCCAAGGAATCTTGTGCAGAAAGGAGCGTGAAACGTGTTGACAATGCTGTTGTTCTTGAGATTAGTTTCATTATCTATTGTGCAAAGTTAGTTCTCCCTTAAGATCTGCTTAAACACATTTAACAAACCAGAGCGAACTCCAGTTTGAGTTTTTCCTGTTTATCTTATTCACTGTATCATCAAGTTAATCCTATGTCTGATCATATTGTTTTCCTAACTATACACTTATAAATGAAATTGTCACCAACGTATAAAATTAGTGTAACTGTTCAAGTTACTTTGAAAGTGGCCTTAATGAAAATTAAAAGATAATCCATTTTAGGAAAATAATCTCTAAAAGGAAAAAGTGAAGTTGCCAAGATTAATAAAATTCTACTAATTACTGCCCCCAAATACATTTTATGCACACTTTACTATACATATCAGTGGCCACGAGAATACTTACACCGGGATTTAAAAACAAATTCAGATGTTTGTGAAGAAGAACTTGATTCTGCGGATTTCCCCGACAAAAATTCTGGAGGAATGTGTGGGCCAGATTCATGACTTCGTTCATCTTCTCATCGTTCTGTAAGTCAACAGAACAGCACATGGTACACAGAAACAAACCTAAGCACAAATACTATGGGAAAAACAGGTCCTCTTCCCACGCAGACTTTCCCTCTGCCTCCCCTTCATGTTTCCGACTCTCCTGGTTACCCCTGCCATCTGTCCTCCCCGTAGTTGGGATCTTCATCGCCCCTGCTTTATTTCTCCTCGTATTTGTTCAGCTCCAGTCTTTAAACCCTCCTTTCATTTCACAGGTGATCCTTTCTCCCCAGGTCTTATGAGCATCCACCACATCTCCGGGCACACCTCTCCCCTCCTCCCTGTACCCTCCTCTGTCCTCCCTTCCTTGTTTCCCCTCCCTTCTCTGCTGTACCCTCCAATTCCTCTCATTGCTTCCCTCCTTTCAACTACCCCCGTTCCCAGTGTGTCCGCATGCATGTCTGGTTCTGCTTCTTTATCCTGTTGTTTCTCTTTCCCCACCTGCCATACCCACTCCTTTCTCATACTTCGTCTTTCCTCTTCCAACATCTATTCCTTCTCTCTGCATCACCTATGTGTTCTCCTCTGGCTCCACCCCTTCCTCTCAATACATCTTCGCTCCTCCTCCTCTCCACTCTTCCTCTCTTCCCCACCCTGTGAACTTGTCTCTGTACGAATCCCTCACTGTCCTTTCCTCTCCATCTCTACTTCCTCTGACTCTTATTTTCACCCTTTTTTTCTTTTTCCCTTCGCTGTCTCCCTCCTCTTCCCCCTCCCTCTTTGTTGCCCCCTCTTGGCCTTCCCTTTCCCTTTCATTTTCCAAGGTCCTACCATATGCCACTGCCTTTTGCTTACAGGAATCACAAAAGAAACTTAGGCCTGGAAATTAGTTTATACAGAATGCAAAATTCCCATCTTAGAGGTGAAAGCTTAACATCACTGAAACCATCTAAACTTCTCGTGCAGGCCGGGGGTATAGCTCAGCGGCTTAAACACTTGCCTGGCAAGCCTGAGGTCATGAGTTTGACTCCCAGTACCAAAAAAAAAAAAGAAAAAAAACCTTCTCATGCATCACTGATCCCCCCTTTTCTCACGTCGTCCATGTCAAAGCTACAAAAGGGACTCGTGCTTTGAGAGCCAGATTATATTAAATGAATTAAACGTCTTCTTTTTTCCTAATGTAAGGGTTTGTAGGTTATGCCACTATAACTAAAGAAGAAGCCCTCGGTCATTAATAGACTATTTCTTCATATTTAAAACAGGAATAGATTAAATCGACAAGTGTTGGCGAACCTATGGCACGCATGCCGCAGCAGGTTGTTTGTTATCATGGCAAGCTCGACAAGGTTCGCCATCACTGCAATAGGCCCCTCCATTGGTAACCTAAAAATGGGAAGTTTTTATTTTAAAATCTACTAGCTCTTTCACCCGGATAACTGAGGAATACACAGAAGACTAGACACTTCAACAGCAGACACACCTGATTCTCACCGAACCCTGGCCAGTACTGAAGAACATTTGTCAGGGCCAGGGCTACTGCATTCATATTTCTTTAGAATTCTCATCTTACTGTTTCTGAACAATCCAGGTATAAAACCAAGTAAACAGATAAGAACAAAGTAGGAGGAATATCCTCAGTGTTCCAGTGACATTATTAGAAAAGGGGGATTAGTTATGTGTCCATGTCCATGTTATAATAACAGGAAAAGCAACTTGAATAACAAATACTAAGGATTCAATATCCCTTGTTGTCTTTCAATAACTCTTCTATCACCTTCTCTACCGTAGCTTGAATGATGCCAGCTGAGGAATGACATAACTTATAATTTTACATAAATTAGAAGTATCCAAGTTGGGAGTAGGGAGGCAACCTAAAGAAAGCCCAGGTGGGGCGAGCTTACACACAGACAGGTCTGGCCTGGTGTGCTGGCACCCAGGGAGGTGCAGGGGCCACCCCAGCAGGGGCTGTCAGAGACTTAGCAGGATGTAGAGGATATTCCCAGGGAGGCATGATGGCAGAGTGACAGAAGACCACGGTGTAGTTTTACGCAAGATACTGATAAACAAGTAACCATACAGCAGATAATGGGAGGGCAGGTCTCCCAGCGAGTGTCAGAAAACAGAGATTCAATATGGAAAAGGAGAATCTAAAAGGAGTTTCATGGTTTTGAATTTATAGCATTATTTGTATAAAACCATGCTTTTTCATAATGTATAGATAGATAAAATCACTGTAACTTGTATATGTTGTGTGTATGTATGTCCGTGTGCGCATGCATGTGTGCACACACACGTATGCATGTGCTCTGCCTTTGTCTATTTAGAGGGTCCGGAGGGGCAGCACTCTGATAGCAATAAGCACACTCAGTTCTCAGAGCTCCCTTAAAGAGACAGCACCTTGCACCAAATGGAACACGAACTTCCTGATGAACTGGGTTGGAGCAGGAAGAAAACAAGCTGAGTCTGGAATATTTTACTGTGGCAGAAAGCAAGGAAGCACCCACAGAATGATGAGGGAGTATTACAGGATAGGGAATCTAGCTTGAAAGGGCTGCACTACTCAAATCTGGGAAAATCTGAGAAACAAAATTACAATGGAAACCTATTATAATTTACTGAATAAAATTAGTATCCACATGTCCACACTGAAAATAATAAGTGAAGGACTTGACAGTTAGATAAAGAAGGGGGTGTTTACTTGATTTCACAGAACCTCTCCACAAAGTACTTGGTAATTACAAAAGGAAAATGAATACTTTACAATGGAAAACCCAGGCAGAGAATCAATGATCAAAGTGGACGTTAGCATCAATATTAACAACAGCATACATCAAAATCATATACCATCTACTAGAAAGCAAGGAAAGGAATATAACATTTTTCTGTAATGTTCCTGCAAAAATATGTAATGTTCCTTCCCTCTCCATCACCTATGTGTTCTCACTAAATTACTAAATTCTTGACTAAATTACTGAATTTAGTCAAGTAAAAAATAAGTGGTGACTCAAGTTAGGGGACATTCTTCAAGATAACGGGCTATCCGCAAAAGTTATCTGTAAAAGTAACAGGAGCCTCCTGGCATGAGATTTTAATAGATATGATAGATAGTGTATGTTCTAAAACAGATCTTTGGTCAGACAGAACACACCCCAGACAACAGGAGAAATCTGAACGGGGAGAGGGACAGGGAGGCAGTATGCTGTCATTCTCTTTCCTGATGAGAAGGACTGCAGAGTGATTACGTATAGCACATCCCTGGCCTCGTTTCTGTGAAACACACACTAAAGGGCTCAGGGAAGGAGGACTTATTCTCAAATACTCAAGGGGAAAACAAAAACTTCTTTATAACTTTGCTATACATATGAAATTGTGCTGAAATAAAAAGTTAAAGGCCAAAGTTACTAAGGACAAACCTTTTCGTAGGGTATTTGCAGAAGATCCAACACCACGGAATGGGCCCCCATATTTTTCAGTAACCGCTGGTGTTGATTCCGACACTTTTTATTCTGCACACAAAGTTTACTCAACCTAATCAAAATCTTCAAAAAAAAGAAGAAAAGCATTCAATATAACAAACAGCAATATCAAGTACATGCAAAACACTATTGTTCGCGCAAATGTAAACCCATGTAAGAGTATCTTATGTCCACTGACCTCCTTTACTATCCGGTAGTTGTTGCTCTTATTGCTGTCAATCTGTGGTATCTTCGTTCCATCTTGCACTGGACTTAAAATGTTTGATTCCTGAAATAAACACAAATGTATATTTGCTTTGCAATAAATAAGTTAAAGTTGGTACTATTTTAAATATTTAAAGTAGGTAATACATTCATTTTTCAATCTGAGTGGGATTTCTGTGCTTTTTTCTTTACTGGATAAAAAGTTCCTTGAGCTATATAAATGACCACAACCTAATAAGAACCAAATTGCAAAATACACGATGTTATTAATAATTAAGAAATTAAAATTTTCAGGAAGTTATACATATTGCTAATATATATGCTCTCTATATTGCTAATATGTATGCTATATATATATTGCTTATATAAGTGCTATATGTATAGCTAATATATATGTGTTTATATATATATATGTATACACCTCATCATATCATATCACAGTTTATATTGCCTATATGAGAACAAATAGAAAAACTCCAAGGCATAAAAGATATCATTTTATCATCAGGGATAAAGTATACAGAAATAAATGAACAGTGAGGAGCCTATCACAACAGCACATCTTAGAGGAGGGAGAAAAGTACAACTTAATCCAGGGATGCTCTGTACGTTACCATGACAGCCTCACAGTCACAACTAGGGGCCAGCCAAGTGTGTACAGAGCCGTCAAAATGAGAAAAGGAAAGTAAAACTTGAATTAAACACAGTATTTGCATCACTACATTAGTACAGCTTATTAAGAATACCTGAATTGCCAAAAAATACTTAATTATAATTGCTAGTATCTGAAACACCAAAATAAAAAGCAAATATAAGGAGTGTATGTATTTTTTAAATATCAACTATTGGGATTACCATATTTAAAAAATACCAATTACAAACATTTTAAAGCAAGTATTAAGACTTAATATGTGACTGATAAGAGACTATAGTGAAGGGATCTAAAAAACAGAAGAGGGGCTGGGGATTTAGCTCAGTGGCACAGCACCTACCTGGCAAGTGCAAGGTCATGAGTTCAATTCCCCGTACTGGAAAAAAACAAACAAACAACAAAAAAAAAAAAAACAGAAGATACTCTCCTTCTCTTAAGAAAACCATAGCCTATATAAGATACCAGGAAGAAACAAAAAAAGATTTGAACTGAGCAGAAGTCACCATTGAGAGAAAGAGAACAACTTTATGAATGAGGTCAACTTTAAGCCAAGGTCTTCAAAGGGGGAAACTACCTAGTTAAGCATAAGAGATGCATGTCTGGGCAGGAGAGGACCTTGACTGAACAAGTCACTTTAGCCAAAGGTTCTGCCACAGGAACAAGCACGATCCTGCACAGGAAACGGCAAGAACTGACAGCTCATGTGCACAAGGCCAAGCAATTACCTCTCAGGTTACAGTAAGTGTAACAGTGGCCTTGGGATGAATGTCACATTCAGAGTAGGTCAGAAACACCCTAAACTTCTGACTACAGACTTTGGACTGTAAGAATTAAAAGGGACCTCTGCATGCGCTCAAGAAGAAGTAATAAAGACACGTGAGGCCTGCCGATATAATTTCACTTGTCCTCAGCTGTTTTCCTACCATGCTCCAGGATAAATCACAAAATTAACACGGGCCAAGACAGAAAAAAATACTTTCCTTACTAGTCAATTCTGATGAGGGCTTCAAGCCTCAGAGTGACCTGATCCACTTTAAACGAAAACCACTCTTTGGGCAGCTCTGCTTTCCTCTTTTGCTTCTCTTCTGGCAAATATTGTGCAAGCTTCTCAGTCTGAAAACCACTTTAGCAGGTGACCTCTGCTCCCATTTGTAAACAGACGGAAATTCCTCTAAATGACATCTCCTCTTTTCCACCTGGAAATGTCCAGCATCACCAAGTAAGCTATCTACCTTCCCTCCCGTGTCCCACAGAATAAAACCTTTAAGGCAGGGATTTTGCAAGCCCATCTCCCCTGCCCCTCTTCCTGCTACATGCCTGTTTCCTATGCACAAGCGTTTTTGATCTTCTACCTACTGATTCTCATGTCCTTGAAAATATGGGCAGGTTGAGGTTGTCTAAGCACTTTCAATGATTTTACCCATCCTGGGAAGTGGTCTGGCCTTTCAGGTTACTCTTCCCACTAATCATCTCAAGAGAATGATCTACGCTGAACATTCCTACGTTGCTTTATAAACTCATATACGACTAAACCTCATAATCACTAAAGCTTGCTTCAGCATTTGACTCCGTGGTTCATTCCCATTTTCGCAGAACTCTATTCTCTTTGTTTTCTTATGTCAGGATACATCCATCATTACCTTTTCCCACCTGACCAGACATCCCTTCCATTCAATAGAACTGGAAGTGGAAACGGTAACAAAGACAAATAGTGAAAGCCTTGGAAACCTTACTCACAGAGATTCTAGGGCTGTTGCACCAGCTGTCATAATAAATATAAGAATGAACAGCGCAACTCCATTCCAGGTTAAAAAGAGGAGGGTGAGATATTATCCATAAGGCACTCAATATGAAGAGAATCCTAAAAAGTTACAGAGGAAACTATTAAGCTACTTAGGTAAATGAAGCCAGTACAGATGAAGAAAGGCAGTCCAAGTGGCCAAGATAAATAAAGCTACCGAGAGGGAAAGACTAGAGGTCAAGAATGACACGAACATTGAAATAACTTATCAATGTGGAGTATAAATTACAAAAACCAGAAAGAGAATTAATTCTTTTTTTTAGGGTCACGAAGGTGGAGAGTGAATTTTTAAAAGTCATTTCATCTTTCTCTGGAAATGAAGAAATATTAAAGAAAACTAAATCCATACCACAAATCAGGATTAAGATACTATCTTGTGCAAAGGTTGCCAAAGCACCTATGGTAAAAAGATCTGATACAAATCAATTTTAAAGAAAGTAGTTAAAAAGACAGGCAAAGCTTTTTCGTGCCTATATTTTAGGCTGTTTTTCAAAACAACAGCCTGAAGAAAAAGCAACACTCTTGTTTTAAGAAAAGTGATCTTGAGTGAAATGTACTAAATTACATAAAGCTATGCCTTTAGTCCAACCCAGGGGAAGCTACAGATAAAGCTAAACCGTGCTAAGTATGGGAATTATGAAGAGTAATGATTTTAATTTTAAATTCCCAGCAGTCAACAAAAGAAACTGGCACTGGAGAATCTAATAAGCAATCTCTTTTAATTTCAGAAAATAATTCCATGTAATTCAGCTCAACAAAAATATCAATCCATAGAACATCAGGGTAACTCTAGAGGAATTCAAGAAATAGATAAACTATGTAACTAAAGTAAGGCTTTGTTTTTTCTTTTATTTTGAAAATGCTCTAAATAAAAGTGTTTCAAGATCTTTCCTCCACAAAGACAAGAAAGTGTGTCTGTATTCTTTACATTCTGTACAACTTCAGTCGTAGGTCAGTGACCAAAATCAAAGCCCTAAATTTGTTGTAAGGACAAAAGATTCGAAAAGTACAAGATATAGAAGCATGACTTCAACAGAGTCCTAGAGCTAAGAAGGTTCAGAAAAAAAAAGTGTGTAACACTGAGAACCGTGCCAGGCTGACAGTGCATGTACAAACGACCCTTTGACAATGGTGACAAAGAGTAAAGTACAGGTACTTTACTCCAATACTGATCTGTACTGATATGTACAGATATATGCTCTGATAGTACCTATACTTTACTGTCACTGCTGCCGGTCATCTGAACAACCTAATTTAATTCCTCTAATGGAATATAGGAAACAACTGAATTAAGCAATTTTATATAGGCAGCTACATTTTTAATTGTATAGTATACACCATAATATAAAGCAGTAGTTCCAGAAGCAAGACAGCAAGAAGAATGCTGAAATTAGGTAAACAACAAGACTCCAGGCAGAGACAAAAAATTCTGCTTTGAAATAGCGGTTCCTCCCATCTTCTGTTTCCATTTGTTTGTTTTTTTTTTTCAATAGTATGCAAGGGGCGTAAGGTAACTTTTACATCAGAGCAAAAAAAATTTAATAAAATAGTGTCGAGTGGACTGCATGGTAAACTATACAATGGCACAAATTAATGGAGATCCAGCTTCTTAATTTAAGCAAGGGCAATTGTGCTTTTAAAAACAGATTGCAAATCCTACCATGCAGAGCTGGTGGCAACTGCAGCTGCATGATTAAAATAGCTGGGTGCAGGCTTCCTATTCACACACACACACACACACACACACACACACACACTGGGTCTCAGGAGGCCCTTCCTCAGAGAAGCTGTTGAGTCAGCAAGGTCGCAAAGCATTCTGTTCACCATCTGTATCAAAATCCTTCTCTTCTTGTAACCTCTCTCCAACCCAGTTGGTGCATAATAAACCAACAAACCTCCTCCAATTTCAGAGGCCAAATACCTTCCTTTTCCCTTGCCCACCTCCCTCCAAAACATAAAGAAAACACACCTAAGTCTATTAGGACTTGTGTCTAGATGTCCCCCCAAAGCCTCGTGCGCTCACAGGTGGGGCTTTCCAGGGGCGGCTGGATCTAGGGCACGTGCTGCTGGGATCAAGGATGTGATGCTGGGATATATAGTCAGAGAGGGACTGGGCTCTCAAGGAAGTCAGCAGGAGAAGTAAAGGCATCAAATTTTCTATCTGAAAAAGATCAGGCCTCAAGATAAAAGATCCAGTGGCCAGCCTACACACCTCCCCTAAGGCATAGCAGTAACTTGGAATTGCGCTATAATTGGTATCACCTGGTCCAGTAAAGCCCAGATAGACATCAGTCACCCAGGTGGGTGACCAGAGCCTCTGGACCCATCCCTTCCCAAAAATGCCTTTGTTCTCCCCAGGTATCCTTGCTACGTGACCTGCTTCTCTATCAGAGCAATATTTGCTAAGCTGCTATACGTGCAATCCTATATGTTGATGTGGAGGACCAGCGGGACCGCTCTCCTTGAAAAAAGAGCATTTGTCTCTATTTTGACTAGACCTGGTCCTAACTCAACGTACTGATATGTACAGAGCTGGCTAGGGTAATACTCTACCCTCTCAATTGGCTTTAAGTAATGCAAATAGGTCCACTGAGGTGCTGATGTGTATGAC